CAAAAGAATTTCATGGTCAATAGCATTGCAACAAAGAAAACGCATCCGTCACAACTTTTAAGTAGCCAGACTGTGAAAAATTGTGAAGGCCACTGCAATAGATCTGTTTATTTTTAAGTTCATAAAACAACCATTTAGGATGGTTTTTCGCTGAAATTGGCACCAAAACATCAGACGCACGATGTATTCTATGGGATCAAGAAATGTAGCCGAACAGTCACATGTGATGAACCATATATGCTTGTAAGGTAAGTCTTTTGTGGAACCTTCCCAATCGCTTCCTTGTTCTAAGATTAGTGTTCTTTTCAGATGGGCTAACTCAAGCATATGCGACGTTCACTATCCTGATAAAACAAAAACACAAGGTCCAATGTTCTTCTACGAGTGTAACGGAACATCTTGGAATGTTCAAAGTTACCCAATCGATAGTATCATATGTGCTGCTAAGATATAAGTGCAGGAGAATGCACTCTAATTGTGAATAATGTTTTCTAATAGTAAAATTAAAAATGAAAAGTTTTTGAGAGCTGAGAAGAATACTAATGAGCAATTTTTCGAAATCAAATGTCCAATACAAAAAAATAGTAAATGTTACCTTCACAATATTGTAGAGGGTTTCCAAATCTTCAGTGGAGAATTTGCACTCCTTGCCAACACTCCTTATTATACTCCTCATTTGACTGTCTTCAAGCGTCTAAAACTATTGAACAATCAACAAGATCTGATGTGCTCTAGACTGATAACGTGATGATTCGCGACTTCTTCTAATTTCCTGTTTGACTTGATATTCTAAATAAGATGCATAATCCAGCTCGACTCAGTATGCTCAAGTTTTGAACGATTTGACAGAGTTATTTTACACAATAAGGAAAGCATTGAGTGACTGGAGAATTTCATCTCGTTTTCTTTGAACTCAAAAATCAAAAAATCAGAGGTTTTGGCAACAAGCTATTGACAGGAGATATCTCCTCTACAAAGTAGTGTCCTTAGCTTAGACAATGATTTCTATTTTGATAAAATATAAAATTTATTGAGAAAATTCAGCGAGCCAAATAAGCTCAATCGACAACGCTTTTTTCAAAGAACACGGAAATTGCTAACGCTCCTATTGAAATAAATGAATAT